TAGGTGACCGTGCTTCAGCAGAAGGGTTGGACTGGGTGACCCACAGAGGTCCCTTCCAAACCCCACCATTCTGTGATTCTGTGATTCTGTGACCGTCCCCAGAACCCCCCAGGAAAGCTCTGTTGGGCAAAAGAAAGCTCAGCAAAGTCGTAGTTGAGACAGCAAGGGGTTTAACCAGGAGCCCGCCCCGTTCCGCACACAGGTTTGTCACCGCGCTTTCCTGCCCGTAGTTGAGGTACGTGGAGAGCGAGCTCTCACGAGCGCCCAGGCCATGCCTGCCCGGGAGACAGCTCGCTCCTCTCCTGGGACGGGTGGAGCTAGTGGTCCTGGTGACGCTTCTCACGCTGTGGGCCTGTGATGACGGTGGTGGTGATGGTGATCTTGTTCACGGTCAGCCCTCCTCCTGTGCCGTAAGTGTCAAGATGTGCCTCCCGCTTGTACTCGGAGACTTGCTTGGTGGAGAGGAGCTCCCATACTGACACCTTCTGCTCCTGGAACTGGCCAAAAGTAATGTAGGAGCCCTCGGACTGGAGGAGATCCACTATCTGCTGTGGAAGGGCTGCAAGATGCCCATCTTTGCCATCTGTCACAATGCTGCTGATGGTGCTGACCAGTTCCTGGATGGTGAGTGTCCCTGCACGGTACAGCTCCAGGAGCTCCTGCCTTTTCTCCTCAGAGATGTAGTCAGAGAAGAGCAGGTCCCACACAGACACCTGCTTCCCCTGGAACTCATCCACTGACATCTCAACTGTGGTGGACTTCAGGGTGTCTTCCCAGGTCCCGTCCTCCTGCAGGTCAGTGCACTCAGCTTCTGCGACTGGCGACTCCGCTCTTGGACTGCTTGCCTCGGCCAATTCCTCTGCCCTTGCTGCTTCTGCCTTGGTTACAATAGTGCTGACAACGGTTTTCACCTGATCAAGCGTTAGTTCTCCTGCCTGGTACAGCTCCAGGAGCTCTTTTCTGTTCTCCTTGGGGATATACTTGGAGTGGAGCAGGTCCCACACAGAGACCTTGTGGCCCTGAAACTCTCCAACCTCCACCTCGACGGCTGTGGTTTTCAAGGCTGTTTCCCATGGTTCTTCTTTGGGAGAGCTGTCATCCTTCTCTCTTGCTGCTGACACAGTGTCCTTGTGTGCGCGTGACACAGTGTCCTGGTCGGAAGTCTTGACTGCAGTTAGGATTTTCCTGCCTGTAGATTTTTTTTTCTTAACGAGAGTGGTGACAACAACTATTAACCGCTCCAAGGCCAATGTCCCTCCACGATACAGGTCCAGCAGCTCCTGCCTTTTCTCCTCAGAGATGTAGTCAGAGAAGAGCAGGTCCCACACAGACACCTGCTTCCCCTGGAACTCATCCACTGGCATCTCAACTGTGGTGGACTTCAGGGTGTCTTCCCAGGTCCCGTCCTCCTGCAGGTCAGTGCTCTCAGCTTCTGCGACTGGCGACTCCGCTCTTGGACTGCTTGCCTCGGCCAGTTCCTCTGCCCTTGCTTCTTCTGCCTTGGTTACAATAGTGCTGACAACGGTTTTCACCTGATCAAGGGTTAATTCTCCTGCCTGGTACAGCTCCAGGAGCTCTTTTCTGTTCTCCTTGGGGATATACTTGGAGTGGAGCAGGTCCCACACAGAGACCTTGTGGCCCTGAAACTCTCCAACCTCCACCTCGACAGCTGTGGTTTTCAAGGCTGTTTCCCATGGTTCTTCTTTGGCAGAGCTGTCATCCTTCTCTCTTGCTGCTGACACAGTGTCCTTGTCAGAAGTCTTGACTGCAGTTAGGAATTTTCTGCCTGTAGATTCTTTTTTCTTAATCACATTGCTGACAACAGTTATCATCTGCTCCAGGGTTAGCACCCTTTCACGGTACAGCTCCAGGAGCAAATGCCCTTTCTCCTCAGAGATGTAGTCAGAGAAGAGCAGGTCCCACACAGACACCTGCCTCCCCTGCAGTTCGCCAGCTGGCACACCAATGGTGGTAGACTTCAAGATGTTCTCTAGTTGTGCGTCTTGTACTGAAAAATCATTGCTGTTTGCGCTTGCCAACGCCTTGTGTGGACTCCTGGCATTTGCCACGAGCGCAGCATTTGCAGCTGCTGTTCTGTTTATGATGGTGGTGACCACAGTAGCCACCAGTTCTGTGGTCAGTATCCCCGCTCTGTACAGCTCCAGCAGCTCCTGCCGCTTCCCTTGAGGGATGTGTTTGGAAAAGAGCAGATCCAGCAAGGAAATGTTTTGCCCCTGGAATTCACCAGCAGTGACATAGATGGTCGCAGACTTTAAGGACTTTCTCAACTGTTGGTCGTGGGAGTGCGTGTCCTGAACTGGCTGTGATGCTTCCTCCTCGTTGTTGGGTATAACTGTGGCTGAGCTCGGATCCCCATTTTCCATTTCTGCCCTGGTAACGATGGTGGTGAGGATGGTGATAATCTCTGGGATGGTGACCGTCCCTGCCTTGTATTTCCTTAGCAGCTCCTCTCTCTGGTGATCTGGGACGTAGCGGGAGAAGAGGAGCTCCCAGACGGTGACACTCTGGCCCTGGAAGAGCCCCACGCTGATGGTGGTGCGGGCGGCCTGCAGGGCTTTCCGGGCATCCTTGGTCAACTGGTAGAGCACGGAGCCCGTGTCCATCAGCGGGAGCATCAGCAGCCCCGTGTCTGGGTCAGGGACACAACGGCGGAGGAGCTGTGTGTAAGTGAGGTTCTCGTGGGTGTTGGGGTCGAAACAACTTCTTGTTTGATTCTTGGGGTTAGAAAGAAACTGGCACGTCTCCTGGTCAAAGTAGCCACGCTGGTAGGCCACCTCCACGGGGAGGCGGTGGCTGTGCACGGGGTCAATGATGCCACCGGTGGCGATCTGGGCCTGGAGCAGGCGGACAGCATGCTCCTTCACGATGAATTCTTTCTTCATGGCCTGGAAGAGGGAGATCTTGTGTCCTGTGTATGGCTCTGTGTACCCTGTCACGGCTCCCTCAGCCGACAGCAGCTTCTCATAAAAATCTCTGCCTATGAGTCCTGCGGTCAGGGCTTCTTTCACCGATAGTTTCTCGTTCCTCACAGGGTCAGTGAGGAACCCTGAAGCAGCCTGGGCCTCCAGCAGCACCAGGGCTGTACCTGGTGTCAGGAGCCCCCTCATCATGGCATCATAGATACTCATCTTCTTATTCACGGCCTGGATGAAGACTCCAGCTATGAAGTTACTCCCACCCCCGCCCCACTCGTTGTGTCCACCTGCAATCAGGTTGCTTCCCATGTTGCTTGACTTGCTGTTCTGAGGTGGTCCACTCATCTTCTGCATTGTCTCTGGGGAACAGTCCTGCCGCCGTGGGGTACCGTGTTTTTCTGAGGAGAGAGAAAGAAAAGACTTGGTAAGGCACAGGCTGTCGTGCAGTTTTCGTGGCGTGCGTGAAGAAAGCCATCGCCCTGGATGTGGCAACAGGAGCCCAGAGAGAAGCGGGAAGTGGGGTCTGGGGATTTGCTGCTGTTTCCCTCCCTCAGCAGCAAACTCAGGGCCAAGAATGCCCCTTGTCCAGCTCCTTCTCGAACAGCGGATGAGAGCTTTGTGGAAGGGGCAGTGGCAGGGCTGCCGGCGCGGCTGCCTGTGCAGCACGCTGTGCCCTCCCGGCTCCCGGCTCTACGCGTCTCTGTGCAGCCGGTGGTCTCGGCGCAGAGAGGCACCGGTGCCGTGACCAGAAGGCTTGGTGCCTCTCGCAAAGAGCTCCTGCACCCAGGGCAGGAAAACAGATCGCGCTGTGAAGGGGAGCGGGCAAGGAAGCGGAGCTGAGCAGCACCTCAGGGGCAAGCGCAAGCAGAGGTCTGAGGGCCGTCACAGCGTGGTGGGTTTGGTGAGAGGCACGCACTCCGCAGAGAGGCATCATATCAGCAGCATGGACAACCCATTCTGGGCCCCCAAGGACCTGCCTGCTGTCCCAGAGCCTGACGCTGCCTCAAGCCTGTGGCCTCTGTGACCTTCCTCGTCTTCCTGAGCAGCGTCACCACTGCTCACCTTTGGGGTGATGCCGCAGGGCACCGGCCGGAAGCATGGCCGCTGCTCACCCCCCTGCTCCCCCGGCACCGGCTGCTGTGCTGCCCTGCGCCTGGCAGATTTAGCTGGTGGTTGTCTGACAAGCACAGGTCACACCAACAAACACCAATGACTTCCTAGTACGACTGCCACCAGCGACTGTCCAGCTGCAGAGAGGCTCTGGCTAGCGCTGCAGGTCATCTTAGACCATCACGTTGCCCGGCTCCGTGCTGGTCGCAGGTAGGCTGTGAGCGTGGTGGGACACTGCCAGCACCGAGCAGGACGGCAGGCACAGCCCGGCTCATGGCTGTCCCTGGAGATCTTTCTTCTGGCTGTGTGATCCCACACCACCCTGCCATGACACCGGACGTGGGAATGGTCTTCACGATGGATGAGTGGCTGGGGGGGCATGCAGCTGGCAGAGACCTTCCCTAAGGCTGTGCCTCTGCTGAAGTTGAGACTTGCCTGGGTGTCTGCGTGTTCTAAGGCCACTGGGTTGGAAGACCTCCCACCCTCCGTGCTGGTATGGTCTCCTGTCCTCCAAAGCTGGGGTCTGCTGCCACAGGCACGCTGGCACTGCTCCTGGCCCACGCTGACTTCTGAACTGCCCGTGGGCATTGCCCACAGAAGGGCTAGTTGGCTGGGGCCGGGCACCATCCCGGGGCCCATTCTAACCAGTTCCAGCAACTGGGAGCAAGGGCAGAGTCAATGGGAGGGTTTGTCTGTCTGGGTGCTCTCTCTGCAGCAGGGCCAAGGTGCTCTCCCCAGATATTTAGGGAAGCTGCTCTAGGAACAGCCTGGGAGAGAGAGATGCTCCCTCTGGGCGAGCCCTCGGGGCTGGGCTTGCCCTGGGCTGCTGTCTGCAGGCACCACAGGCTACAGAGCTCCACGGACACCTGCGGTCCTGCCTGCGAGCCCAGCTCTGGCGTCAGCCTCCACAGCATCCCGTGGCCATGAGGCCTGTGATTTAATCACGCTTCGCAGGGAAAGTGTTCTCACCGGGAGCTTCCAGCTCCTGTGCCACGGGAGGTCATGGATGGTCAGTCTTCATTATTGGCTAATTATTACGTAGGAAAATTGGTGGATACAATTATATATATATATAAAAATGAGACATTGGTGAGGGACTAAGAGCAGGGAGCCTGCTGTAAGCGGCCTCTTGCAGCGATCTCCCCCCTTCAGGCGTGTGCTTTGCCATGAGTGCGACCGGTCAGAGTCGGTCCAGCGGGTGCCCTCGCCCCCTCACCCGTAAAAATGCAGCACCCTGAGCCGAGACGCCAGCCGCCCTGTCTGAGGTGTCCCAGGGGAAGGCAGCCGAGCTCTCGAGCAGACAGCAGAACAGCCGTGCGGAGTCGGGCCAAGGGTCTCTGCAGCCCAGAGTCTTGTTTCCAGCCTGAGCCATAAGTGGACAACAGGGGAAGGATGAAGGATGGGGCAGCGTGCGCAATATTTCCCCGATTTCTGTGTCAGCCTCGGACAGTGGATTTCATGAGCTGGATGCGTTTTGGGTCTGTGTAGTAATCCTCAAGGGATATCTCCTGTGCAGTCACCCGGTCTCTTCTGGAAGACCTGTAGACTTCCAGCACCCACAAAATCGCACGGCGATGAGGCCACAGTCTTGTAAAAACAGCAAAAACAAAACCCAAAACATTTCTTTGGGAACACCCATCTCCCATAAACTACAGCGACTGACGTTAATGATATGTTTAGCTCATTATCAGAGTCACAGTTTAATTCTCTGGCTGTTTACCTAACTGGTCTCAAAGTCTCTGAGTCATTGCTTTCGATCCATTTAAATATTGGATTGATGCTGGTACAGATGGATCACGCTATGGGAGAGGTATAACCCAGCAGTTACAGCCCAGCCCCCGCCTCTCTGGGGACCCTGCCCATGGCTTCAGGCTCGTTTACCATCAGCAGCTCTGGTCCACCTTGTGACTCCAGCCCTGGAGAGGAGCTGCTCTGCCCTCCCCTGCCTGATGCAGCCGAAACCTCCCGGCAGGTGATGGGCTGGTTGCGTTGCCTGTTCGGGTGGCACTGGGTCCGGGACAACACTGGGTGCCGTCACACCCCGGAGCAGGCGACACCTATGTAGGACACGGCTGTCGTGTGAACACCCTATACCGGAAAGACCTTGCCCAGCTGCAAGCTGTCATTAGCTGGTCTCTAATCAGGCCTCCTGATGCTGGGGCTTGGCTGCACACGCAGCTCCTGGGGCAGGAGCCGGCTGTCCTTTCAAGCTGTCGCAGCAGCCCAGCCCCAGAGGTCCCAGTGGAAGTGGTTTTCACAGAATCACAGAATCACAGAATAGTAGGAGTTGGAAGGGACCTCTGTGGGTCATCTAGTCCAACCCTCCTGCCGAAGCAGGGTCACCCAGAGCAGGCTGCACAGGACCTTGTCCAGGTGGGTCTTGAATATCTCCAGAGAAGGAGACTCCACAGCCTCCCCGGGCAGCCTGG